AATTTTCTTTGTAATTTATGGGGTCTGTATCGTCTGGTAATCTCTTCTAACAGGATGTATCAAGTAACAAGGAGCCAGGCTCAGGCGGTGTTTATTGAAACCACCTGTACTATAAACTGTTACATACATTTGTTAGTAGTGGCAATTAGTTTTGTCTCTATTCTGAAACAACATACACGGACATATGTTGAAATAAACTTGTTTGAAAGTTCAAAGAATTGATATTCAAGTACCGAAAAGCTTTCTTACTATCATATCTACAGTAACGTTCAAATGCGCACGCATTCGGTTGAATGAGAGTGACCACCAAAAGGGGCAAGATAGTTTACAGACAACGTACAAAGTTCACGCTGCTGACCCCACGGTTTATTCAGCACAATAAACACAAAAGTACGACTGCAATGAAACATAAACATAAATTTGAAATAAAAATATATTTATGGAACAAAATTAAAATGTTTTTATGTACATATATAAACATGAAATCCTAGTTAAAAATAAAAATACTCATTTATTGTTTAGGTTTATTTACAAATATTATTTATGGGTCTGTATATTACTTGAAACCATAAGAAGTATACGTGATTATTAAAAAAATAAAAATAGATAAAATTTGCATTTTATGGAGGATACAATTTTTTTGGATTTCAAAATAATGTACTAAAACATTAAAAGTAATAAGTTCAAATCTGTAGCAAATATAAATATTGTAATCATTTCTCATAAATACCATTTCCTAATGTAATTTTCCAAGATATTAAAGATCATAATGCAAAAAAACTAAATTTATTAAATGTAATAGGCTTTATATTTCTTAAACTACCTACATTTGTCAAAGTACTTATGAACTTTCGAACATATCCGTCCACTAGTTTTATTGTTGGAATGATATATAGCAAGACTTGCATTGTCTACTAAGAAAGTAAGTAGCCAGTAGTCATCGGGTTAAGGCAATGACAAAAGGCTTAAAGCTTGCCTCTATGAAAATCTTTTTTAATCATCTGTCATTGCATTTAAGGAGTACAGGCATTTACAAGATGTTCAGATAACTTTGGTTTCAAAAGACAATTTGCAATTGGTTGCTAAAATGAGCCTCACATACCAAATTTAGTTTAATGTAAACATCAAAGCAAACAAGGCCATAGATCAAATCTATCAAGTACTACTAGTAATTTTTCTCTGGCTCCAATAACCCCACTCCTCCAACATTTTTCTTACCAGATTTGAACAATTTGGATGGATAGCCAATATGACATTAGAAATGGCATTAATACAAGGAACAATGTATAATTTCAAAAGAAAGAATGTTTTTTTTCATAGGATATAAATAAAATCTACTTTATATATTTAATCATTTTCATGAGAGAGAATAATACTCTTTTTATCAATGAAAATGTACTGCAACTGACTTGGTATGTTTACATTTTTTTTACTATTTATGTGTAGTATCAATCAAAATGCCATTTCTATTACTTTTTAATGGCTAATATTAAATTTGTTTATGAAATAGTCATATAAAATAGCCATGTACTTTCACATGCTGATTTATTTTACTAGTATGAACTGTGTACTCAAAGCCTTAACTGTATGCACTATAACATAACTGTGTTTTATAACACAAGTTTTGCAAACCTTAACATTTCATGTGCATTGATTTGTAACTATTTTAATCCTATTTTATTCTCATCCATATTATTTGCTTAAATTCTTATTTCACTCCACCAGTTTCATCTTGTGTTTCAGCCTCTAACAACACAGCTCTAATAGTAATAAAAAAAGAGAATATTTTTAAAACAAATCAATGTAGACTTGCAAAATGTTAAATTCTAAAGAATGGTGTTAAACCAAGAAATACCATCAAATAACTTTTATCAGAACCAGTCCTTATGAAAGTACTTCTCTTTACAAGCACCTGTAATTCTTCATGCGCACACTTTTTTAGTAGCAATTGTTGTTATTGTGGTTAAAATAGCAGCTAAAAAGTAAAAAATAAATAAGGTAATGGCCAAATAAATCTAATAGTATGAAATATTTTCCTTAAATATTGAGTAGTACTTCTCTTTAAATGCAAGAAATATATATATATATATATAATTTTTCTTACCTCCTTTACTTTTTTCTATCTTTGTCTAAATTGTTCTCCTAACGGCTTAGGCACTCACCACAAGCTGAGAGAACAAAATTTTCAGATTTTTAAGTTAACATTTTGCATACCACATATCTCTTTCTCAGTATGTTTCTACTAAGCAGATCTGTTGAGCTCTCACATACATAAATGTTCTTAAACAAAGTATGACAATTCATTGAACTTGAAAGTAATTCCTTTGAAAACTGGGTTGAATTAGTAATTTCTTGTTGGTTATTTTGGTTCTGAATGATATGGTTTTATTAGAACCTTCTTTATTATGTACTTCTTCTTCATCAAGAGAAACTACAATGCAATTGTCAGGGCTGGGTAGGGATCTGTAAATCCAAGTGTCATGACAGGGATCTATAAATCCATTGCTGTAAATTTAGTTTTGAGGGGAAACAGGAGTAACCCAAGAAAACCCACTTTCACTGAACAGGACCAAATTAATGCCCGTTTATTGTCTAGACAAAATGCATACTTGGGTTATGTTGAAATTTTTGAAACCTGAAAGATACTAAAGAGAAACGTACATAGTAAGACATGAATCAAGATCTCTTATTATTGTGTGTTGTTATCTTCATGTATGAACTTATATGGTGACACATATTTTCTCCAGGTTTGAGGGGTGGCTACTATTTAGGGGAAGTGTGAAGTTAAGGAGTGGTGATCTATGGCTTCAGTGTCACATATTCTCGCTAGCTTGAAAAACCTGGTTTTAATGGGTGGAAGTTTGGCTCACATTCTTGAAGTCTCATATGTTTTCAATATTATTCTTAGATGATCACACAATACCAATTATCTGTCCAACTAATTCACAGAGAGAAACCTTATCAGTGAAACTGTAAACATTTTTCCAAACCTTTTCAGAAAATTTTTGTTAATTAATGGCCAAATCGTGGTTACAAATTTTGTGAAGTGATAGATCTGCCAAATTAAATGACACTTTTATGCCTTTGTTGTTACTGTTTCTTTTAGAAGGTTCCTTCTTCCTTCCTGTTTAATTTAAAATCTTTAATTACTCTAAGGCAATCAACTTCCTACTTCCTCAGTATTTTAAACAAATAACTATCGTATCTTTCAATTAAACTAATTAAGAAAACACAAATAACTAAATCACAAAATCAATCAATGAATAAAAAAAGACCCAAAACTCGAGTGCTTTCAAATAGTTAACTATTCTTCTTCAGGAGAATGAAAAGTGATGATTAGTGAGTGCAATGTAATATACAGACAAAGATGTCAACGCCACATAAGCCAGATGTTCCAAATGAGTTGACCTTGGAGACTAGCCAATCACAACTGGAGACACTGGTGTCAGATATTGGGAAAATGTAATGCTTATCCCCTGTATCTGAAATGGCATCACAAAACAAGGCTTAATTATTTCAGCTTACAAAGCCATTAAAATTTACAGGAAATGTTAGTCAGAATACATATCTCCAGTTCATAAGAATTCCTTACCAACTGATAAAACAGGCAAGAATATCCATTCCAGATTTATCTTTATGTAGTTTTAACTAACTCATTCATACACTTGCTTCGTGTAATGTCTGATATCAAAGGTAATGTTGTAAAACCACATAACTTCGACCATGCTTGACAGGCAAATGACAGCCTAAAGACATTACATCTTGACCATCTGCTGCTTGTAAATAT